TTTATTATTAAGTATTATACTCACTCCAATTTCAAATGAATCTCAGGGTGGAGGTTTATACAAGAACCTCCTACAAGAAGTTGCACAAAAACTTGGGTTCCTCTCTCCGGTGTATAAAACAATTCAAGATGGCCCACCTCACAATGCTTCTTTTGTCACCACTGTGCAAGTCGGTGATGAAACATACGAAGGACAAACAGCCAAAAGCAAGAAGCTAGCTGAGATGAATGCAGCCGAGGTTGCTTATAATACTTTGATAAACCGTAAGATTCATTTCCATTTTGAATTTGCAGTCGCATTCCCCCAGACTGAAGGTAGTTGCGCTTCCTAGACTAAAGGTCTTCTATCAAACATACAACACTAACGGCCAAATGAAAAAAATCTGAAATACAAATTTATCCATATGTCAGTAACTACACTTAAGTTGTCTGTCATGCATATGCATATATACCATCATCCCTCAGCCCATACACTCATATTTTTTCTTTCTATCCATAGGTGGGGATACCTTTACGAAGAGGCAGAAACAATCAACCTCACCTGGCACAAATATTCCGCATCCGCCAACTACTCATGGTTTATCTTTATGTCAATAGGTACAATTGTCCATTTGAAGACGCAGAAAACATCGGCTACACCTGGCATGCACACACCTATCCGTCCTCCACCTAGTAACATATACGTTGGTCCAATCCCGTTCGAGACTTCTGCTTTACAGCATGATCTTATTAGGAATTCGTCAGATAAGGTTTTGGCTTCCTGGTGTCATTCAAATGGTACCACAGTTTCTAGCCATGCTTCTGTTTTGCCTAATTCTGTCCAGATATCACCTGATAACCAATCCTTCACCCCATTGGGACTCCCATGTTTGACTAGTTCAATAGAGGAGAAGTTTAGCCTCGATAGACCAAGTGTTGCGAGGAACATGATTCTGGTTTACCCACGTGGTTCAGAAGTGGTACTCCCTCATCATGCTTCAATCTTATCCTGCTGTGATGACAAATGGGTGGCTGTTGAAGTAGTTCAGAGTTCTAATTAAGGTCATACATTTGTGTTTCAAGTTTATGTAGAAAAAAAGATATTTGGCGCTGCGGTTGAATTCTCTGTGTTCTTGTTTTCGATGCTTACTGATACTATGTGCATGCTTTGGATGTTCACAGATTAGTGTCATGGTTTGGATATTTTACTCATTGTTCAATTTTGGTTTTGTTCTTTTTTTCTACATTTATTTCCTGAAGTAAATGTAGAAAACCCCTGGTGCAAACTGGGTCTAGTTCGGGTCCCACACACACACACATATTGTATAACTAGCTTTCTATAGCGCAATGCGCTAAAGGCTGGTTTGCAACCACTTTAAAAAAAGCACTTCTCAGCTTTTGGCTTAAAAAAGCACTTATTTACCAAACACTACCAATTTTTTATTTTTCTCGACTTTCGTGTCAAAAGTGCTTTTCCACTTTTTATACACCAAAAGCACTTATTTTACCAAACACTACCAACTTTTACTTTTCAAAATCACTTTTTTCTCAAACACTATCAACTTTTACAAATAATCACTTTTTCCAAATCACTCCAAAAGTGCTTTTTTTTAAGCAGAAGCTGTTGCAAACACTCCCTAAAACTAATGCCCATTATAAAAAAGACCAATTCTCGTTCTTGCGAAATATAAACTATAAATATCCCACTGTCCCGTAGTATAATTTATAAATAATAACAGTATGGTTCTTATTAATAGTATTCATATTGTGTATGCTCAAATTTAAGTAAGTGTTTTCGTTTAGATAATTTATAGATTTGGTTTAATCTAGTATGGACTGGTTTTTTAGGTCTAGTTTGACCTGGTAGAGAGGTCTAATGTGATTTTACCACTTCCTTTGTCAAAACAAATTGACCAATTTTGACTTGCACGTAAAATAAAAATAAAAGTTGTGTGGTTAAGATTTGCGCACATGAGAGGGAAATAGTTGAAACCACATATTTATTACTTTAATTAGAATTCGTAAAGTATTTTAAGATGACTAAATAAGAAAATTTGGCAAAATTTTTGTGGGAGGTAGGAAGTATTGTTTAAGTCTGATTTGGCACCTGATTTGGTCTAATTTGATTTGTTTAAGTCTGAACAAAACATCTAAAATTATTTGCAAAAATTTACATGAGTTAATTAGAAATCCTAATCAACTCATGTAAATTTTAAATAAATAGACCAAGTAAATTTGAGTAAACTTAAATGAATTCAAGTGCATATATAAATAAAATCAGTTATGGAATTAATCCAAATGAATGTAGTAAACATTAATTAACTTGGATCATTTGGATAAAATTTTAGAAAAATATAACATTATAAATTAATAACACTTATAAAACAGTCGGGGAAGTTAAACAATAATCAAATAAGGCAAGTTTTAAATTAACACCAACAGAATACTGATTAACCCTAAACAAAATGGTTGAACTTAACGGGAAAATGGTGAGAAATAAGTACAACATCAACAATATTTGATAATACTGAAATTGACTGAATCAGATTAAAATGATGAATGTTGATCGGAATAGTTGAATAGACCGAATATTTCGAATTATAAAAAAAATAATACGTAGTACTCCATATACTTTAGGGAGAATTTGTCTTTGTACTCCATTTTTTATATATGTAACTTTGCACTCTAATTTCAAAATCGTTAATATATGCACCTCAATTCACTATAAAATCATTTCACTTTGCACCTCACTCTTTCATAATTTTTGGATTGATGGGGTGCACACATTAATGATTTTAAAAATGAAGTACAAAATTCAATGTCACCCCAAACATGGCGTGCAAAGTCAAATTATCCCTATATTATTAATAATATTTTATTAATAGTAATATAGTTAAAATGGTTCCTTGTATTAACTTCACCCATTTCTGTTACAAAAGTAGTTTCAACCTTACTTATTTTGATGACTTTGTATTATACAATTGAGTGCACGGTATCAAATTTCAAACAGGCTTAAAATAAAATACGTAGTATTTGTTATTTCTCGTTATCTCTAATTAAGAATAATGTTGTATGTACGGTATATAAACTATAAAAATCCAAATGACTCAAATGGATATTGTAATAATTATAATAACCTAACATAACGTATAACTAACATAGGTCGATGACTCACGCCATTAATCTAACGGTGATATGAGTAACGGAGAAGAGTAGTTAAGGAGTTAGTAGGAAAGCTAAAAATGATGTACACTACTTTAATATAATAGTACAAGTGTTTAATGCTATAAGAGATTGACATAATCCAAGGGCATTAACCATTATTTTTAGATACATGCATTTTAATAAAACAATATATCTTCTACAAAATATTACAATAGTGTGATATAATAATAATAATGATGATGATGATGATGATAATAATGATAATAATAATAATGATAATAATAATAATAATCATAATAATAATAATGCATAAAAACAAAATAATTAAAAACCGGATCAGCACTGATCTGGCTACTAGAATTGGACCCACTACCCACTGGGCGCTGTTGCTTTGGTTCCAGACCTCCAGCTGTGGGTAGTGATGGACCCGGGCCGGGCCTCGGGTCAGGTAGAGGTAGGCCCGGGACCGTTCTGGGCTATGGCCGGTGCCGGTTCGGGCCGGGCCACCTGCCCGGGTCACGGGCCGGGCCGGGTCATAATTTTTTTTAATTATTATAGAATATACAAATTCTTATTAAAAACAAAGTTGAAGTCATTTATTTGAAATAGGAACTACATTTGAGAATTGAGAAAAAACAACAATATGAAATACATAGTACATTTTTTAATAAATATCAATTGGGATTTCCGTCACCGTTGGTTGTTGTTTTCCCTTTGTCACAAGACTTCATATGTTTTATTGCCATCCCGTATCCATGTGAACGCCCCAAGCTACACTCTTTCTTGCACCACTTGCAAGTAGAGATGGACCCGGTCCGGGTCAAGGCCCGGTCGGGCCTCGGGTCTTATAATGCTAGGCCCGGGACCGGCCCGGTCAATGACCGGTTCCGGTTCGGGCCGGGCCACCCGCCCGGGTCACGGGTCGGGCCACCCGCCGGGCCGGGCCAGTATTTTTTTTATTAATTATATATTATACAAATTGCTATTAAAAACAAAGTTCAAGTGCATTTATTTGAAATAAGAACTACATTTGAGAATTGAGAAAAAAATAACAATACGAAATACATTTTCTAATGAATATCAATTGGGATTTCCGCCACCGTTGGTTGTTGTTTTCCCTTTGTCACAGGACTTCATATGTTTTATTGGCATCCCGTATCCGTATGAACGCCCCAAGCAACACTCTTTCTTGCACCACCTGCAAGTTGCCCACAACAGTCCGGTTTTCGGGTCCTTCCACTTGTCAAAATTGTTTTGCATAAGGGAAGATGTACTTTCCATATTTAAAATGGTATATGTATAAGTAGGAATGTAGGATAATAAGAGAAGATGAAGATGGAGAAGAGTTTGAGAAGAATTGGAGAAGAGGTGTAGAAAAATGTTAGAAAATAGATGTATTTATAGATGTTTTTGAACCCCACTCCCCACACCACCACCACCGGGACCCCCCTGCCCCCCACCCATTGCCCCAACGGCTATATAGCCGTTTGGGAGGTTTGATTTAAATTTTTTTTTTAAGTTATACACATATTGTAAAATAAATTAATTAATTTAATGAATTAAGTAAAACTAAAACTATTTGTACTTAGAAAAGTGGTTTGATTTATAATTTACAAATGTTACAAAATAGGTGTATAAGTATTTAAACAAATTACATATTGTAAATGTATTTTTAATTTAAAAACCGGCTTTATATTTTAGAAAAATAATTTTAAGTCGTTAGATTGTAACCAATTAATTAATTTGAGAAGTGCTACATATGAAAAAGTGAACACATATTTATTTGAAATATGAAGTACAAGTTTACAAATTAATTTGAAGTACAACTACAAATTTACAATTTTGAAATATGAAGTACAAGTTTACAATTTTGAAATATGAAGTACAAGTATAAATAAATTTGACAAGTGCTATAAAATACATTTTATAATAAATTCTAAAATACTAATCAATCGGAATCTCCGGCATAGGTAGAGTCACCATCAGTTGTTGAGTCATCCATAAAATCTTGGGAGGGGGTGATGCTCAATTCTTGAGTTCTACGTGCAACATTCAACCAATCGTGGTAGCATATAAGCGTCTCAAGAGACTCCGCGCTCAATCTCGATCTAGATGCCGTTAGGACGTTGCCGGCAGAACTAAATTCTTGTTCCACAGCAACTGTTGAAACCGGCATTGATAGTACTTGCTTAGCCATCCGTGCTAAAATCGGGAACGTTCTTTCTTTTGACTTCCACCAGTCTAGAACGTCAAAGTCATCATTTTCTTCAAAATCAACTTCATATGTTAAATACAAAGTAATCTCATTCAATGCGCTTTGTTCAGTAACGTGAGTTGTTTTAGTTTTTTTCATAAGATTGCCAAATGCAGATTTAAAAATCGATTTTCCTTTAGATGAAGATGTTCGTGACGGGGGAGGGGGAGCGTTGCTATATTGTGCACGAAACTCATTAAATAAGGCATAAAATAAAGTACTAACCTCGTTGTATTCCGTTTTCGGATCTATGGGGTTATCGTCATACATTGGAAATTCACCGAAAAACGCAAGATAATAGAAGTTGAAACAATCTTCCAAATTAGCAAGTCTATAACGAGGATCGAGAATAAATGCAATACCATAAATATGGGGAATATGCGCATAATATTTTAAAAACTTTTCCTTCATATGATCACAAAAATAATGAACGAAAACGGCATTTTGAAATTCTTTAAAAGCATCGGCGAGATTAACAGCTTGTGGAATAAACTGGTTTGCGGTAGGTTTATAAACATGACTAAAAGTTTCAGTAGCATTAAAAAAATATATCAAAACATTACAAATTTTTTCGCAAGTGTCGATCTCAGTCACGTTTATAATATAGTTATCATGTTCTTTTAAAAAAGCAGGAAAATGTTCTTTATATCTAAGAACAACTTTAAGTAATTTATAAGTACTATTCCAACGAATACTCAAATCTTTAGGAAAAGCAACATATCTCACACCTCTTTCAGTCAAATAAGTTTGCCATTTTAATCTAAGTTGACCATTACCCCAAATACGTCTAATCCCCCCCTTGATTACCTCCATGGAATCTCCTAACGCTTTTAAACCGTCTTGCACACATAAATTTATAACATGACATACACAGCGTTGATGAAAAAATCTACCCATCAAAGAATTGGCACCACACAACTCACGCAATCTAGGTATAGCAGCAGTATTATTAGTAGCATTATCAAAACCAATAGCAAACACCTTATCAATCAAATTATACTCAATTAAAATACGCTCAATCAAAATATAAATATGTTCAGCGGTGTGACGATCATTAAATTCACGAAAAGCAAGAACACGTTTATGCATATTCCAATCCTCATCAATATAATGTGCAGTCAGACCCAAATAATATAAATGATGAAAATCATCCTCTCATATGTCAGAACAAATAGTAACACGCCCATCAAAGCTTGCAAAATTTTTTTGTAACCTTACCTTTTCCGCATTATAAAGCCTTATTATTTTTTTCTTAACAGTTTTGCGACTATAATTTCTAAATTGAGGATTTAAACTACCTTGTGCATAATCTCTTAAAGCAAGACTTTCAGAAAACAAATAAGGCAAATTTTCTTCACAAATTAAGTTAGCCATACCAGTCAAATTTTGTGCATCATTGTAGGAGAAATTACCAAAAGGTTGAGAATTCGCAAACCTCGATATTTGAGTTTGCTTCCCCGTTCCGCCGCCTAATTTTGCATACTCCACAGGGTGCTTTGCCTTAAGACGCCTTGCGGCGGATCCGTATCCGCCGGAGGTTCCCAAACTATAATTGTTGTTGCACCACTTGCAAGTTGCGTGCCAATAGCCGGTTTGTGAGTCCTTCCATTTATCAAAATTATTTTTCATTAGTTCAGACTTACTTTTTTTATTACCGGTGGCGGTTTGGGATGAGGCAGGTTCGTCGGCGTCGTGGCTGCCGGCACCCTCCTCCTCGGCCGTCTCCGGTTCCAATTCCTCCGCATCTTCATCCTCAAGCTCCTCTTCGTCAATGGTCGTCGGCATTTGTTGTTGTTGTAGAAAGCGGTTATTATGTCGGGCCAATTCTTGTTGGAGTTGTTCTTCGGACATCGCATCTCCATCTCGCCTTTGGTAACCCGTTTCAAAATCATCTCGGCTTTGAGATGAAGAACCGGCAAGTTCTTTACCTTTGCGGGATTTCTTCCTCCCAATCTCGTTCCTTCGATTGCGTTGGAGGTTACCCAAATCAACCGAATATCTACCACCTTCCATTTTAAAAATGTAACAAATATTAATTGACAACCAATATAATAATGGATACAAAACTAATGCAACTAATTAAAACTATTTTAATTAATACTTCAAACTAATTTAGTGCAAAGTAGAATTAATGTGTGACTTTAAAATTAAAATTATACCAACTTTTGAAGTACTTTAATTTAGTAAAAACTACTTAAATAAAATGTTAAGTACTTTAATTAAATGATTGAACTATTATTTCTTCCTACAAATATAAATTGAAAATAAGAAAATGTGACTTTAACTATAATGAATTAATGACAATTAACTAGTTTATTGAAGTAGAGTTGTTTTAACAATTAATGAGAATACTAATGAAGTAAATAACTAGTATAATGAAAAATGTAACAACAATGCTAATTAACTAATTAACTAGTATAATGACAAATGTAACAACAATGCTAATAAACTAATTAACTAGTATAATGAAAAATGTAACAATAATGGTAATGAACTAATTAACTATTATAATGATAAATGTAACAAGAATGCTAATTAACTAATTAACTAGTACAATACTAGATATAGTAAGTAATATATAAGTATACTAGTATAAGATGAGTAATACACTTATATTTTATACTTTAATATATAAAGTATATATTAAGTAGATGTAGAATGTATGTATTAAGTGGATATAATAATTGTATAAGAACTAAATATTAGAGTATAATGGAGAATTGGAGATTGGAAAATAAGAAAATAAGTATATATAAAATAGATATTATAAAGTATATATAAAAGTAGATATTATAAAATAAGTATATATAAAATAGATATTATTAAGTAGAGAAGTAGATATTATTATGTATTAAGTATATAGTAATAGTTTATAAAGTATATTTAATACTTTATTATATAAAGTATATATTAAGTAGATGTAGTATGTATGTATGTATTAAGAAATATAAGTAGAGATTAAGTAGATAAGAAATATAAGTAATATAGTATATGTATTTATAAGTAGATAATTAATATATAAATAGATATAATAATTGTATAAATATTAAATAGTAAAATAAAATATAAAGGAGAATAAGAGAATTTGAGAAGATGAATATGGAGAATTGGAGATGAGTAGAGAGTAGGATTTAGGGAGAGTTGGAGAAGAGGTGTGAAAAAATGTTTAAAATTAGGAGTATTTATAGGTTTTTTTAACCCCCACCCCCCACCCCCCACCCCACCCCACCCCCCAAACGCCCCGGACCCCCCTGGTACCCCCCCCAACGGCTATATAGCCGTTTGGGAAGTGGCTGTTGAGCCAAAATGTTTTTTTTTTTTCAAATTAAAAGTTTTTTTTTTTTAAAATGATCGTTAGGCCCGGGCCCGACCCGGCCGGGCCTCCAAAAACAGGACCCGAGCCCGGACCCGCTACCCCAACCGGTTCGGTGCCCGAACCGGACCCGAGAACCGGGCCGGTTCCGGGCCCGTACAGTGACGGGCCGGGCCGGTCCCGGGCCGGGCGGCCCGAACCGGGTCCAAGCCTACTTGCAAGTTGCCCACCACAGTCCGGTGTTCGAGTCCTTCCACTTACCAAAATTGTTTTGCTTAAGGGAAGATGTACTTTCCATCTTTAAAATGGTAGATGTATAAGTAGGAATGTAGGATAATAAGAGAAGATGAAGATGGAGAAGAGTTGGAGAAGAGGTGTAGAAAAATGTTAGAAAATAGATGTATTTATAGATGTTTTTGAACCCCTCTCCCCACACCACCACCACCCGGGACCCCCATGCCCCCCACCCAAAGCCCCAACGGCTATATAGCTGTTTGGGAGCTGTTTTTTTTTAAAAAAATTAATTTTTTTTTTTGAAAATTATACATATTGTAAAATAAGTTAATTAATTTAATGAATTAAGTAAAGCTATTTTTACTTAGAAAAGTGGTTTGATTTATAATTTACAAAGGTTACAAAATAGGTGTATAAGTATTTAAACAAATTACATATTGTAAATGTATTTTTAATTTAAAAACAGCCTTTAGATTTTAGAAAAATAATTTTAAGTTGTAAGTTTGTAACCAATTAATTAATTTGAGAAGTACTACATATGAAAAAATGAACGCATATTTATTTAAAATATGAAGTACAAGTTTACAAATTAATTTGAAGTACAAGTACAAATTTACAACTTTGAAATATGAAGACATGAAGTACAAGTTTACAATTTTGAAATTTGAAGTACAAGTACAAAATGATTTTAGAAGTGCTACAAAATACATTTTATAATAATTTTTAAAATACTAATCAATCGGAATCTCCGGCATAGGTAGAGCCACCATCGGTTGCTGAGTCATCCATAAATTCTTGTGAGGGGGTGATGCTCATTTCTTGAGTTCTATGTGCGGCCTTCAACCAATCGTGGTAGCATATAAGCGTCTCAAGAGATTCCGCGCTCAATCTCGATCTAGATGCCGTTAGGACGTTGCCGGCCGAACTAAATTCTTGTTCCACAGCAATTGTTGAAACCGGCATTGATAGTACTTGCTTAGCCATCCGTGCTAAAATCGGGAACGTTCTTTCTTTTGACTTCCACCAGTTTAGAACGTCAAAGTCATCATTTTCTTCAAAATCAACTTCATATGTTAAATACAAAGTAATCTCATTCAATGCGCTTTGTTCAGTAACGTGAGTTGTTTTAGTTTTTTTCATAAGATTGTCAAATGCAGATTTAAAAATCGATTTTCCTTTTGATGAAGATGTTCGTGTCGGGGGAGGGGGAGCGTTGCTATATTGTGCACGAAACTCATTAAATAAGGCATAAAATAAAGCACTAACCTAGCTCGTTGTATTCCGTTTTCGGATCTATGAGGTTATCGTCATACATTGGAAATTCACCAATGTGACAAATGTAACAAGAATACTAATTAACTAATTAACTAGTATAATGAAAAATGTAACAAGAATACTAATTAACTAGTATAATGAAAAATGTAACAATTAGTGGGAATACTAATTAACTAATCAAGTATTCAAGTATTGTTAATAAAAAATGTAAGTAACAAGACAAATGTATGAATGTGACTTTAAGTATAATGACAATTAACTAGTTTTTTGAAGTAGAGTTGTTTTAGCAATTAATGGGAATACTAATTCACTAATTAACTAGTATAATGAAAAATGTAACAAGAATACTAATTAACTAGTATAATGAAAAATGTAACAAGAATACTAATTAACTAATTAACTAGTATAATGAAAAAAGCAACAAGAATACTAATTTACTAATTAACCAGTATAATGAAAAATGTAACAATTAGTGAGAATACTAATTAACTAATCAAGTAATGTTAATAAAAAATGTAAGTAATAAGACAAATGTATGAATGTGTATACTAATTAATGGGAGTAAATGAGTAATAGAATGATTTTAAGTGATATTAATTAAAGTGTAACTAATATGTAATATAATGTTTATAGTATATAATATATAAGTATACTACCATAAGATGAGTAATACACTTATATTTTATACTTTAATATATAAACTATATATTAAGTAGATGTAGAATGTATGTATTAAGTGGATATAAGTAGATAATTAATATATAAGTAGATATAATAATTGTATAAGAATTAAATATTAGAGTATAATGGAGAATTGGAGATTGGAGAATAAGAAAATAAGTATATATGAAATATAAGTAGAGAAGTAGATATTATTATGTATTAAGTATATATTAATAGTTTATAAAGTATATTTAATAAGTAGATATAAGAAAATGTATGTATGTATTAAGTAGATATAAGTAGATAATAAGTAGAGATTAAGTAGATAAGAAATATAAGTAATATAGTATATGTATTTATAAGTAGATAATTAATATATAAGTAGATATAATAATTGTATAAGTATTAAATAGTAAAATAAAATATAATGGAGAATAAGAGAATTTGAGAAGATGAATATGGAGATGAGTAGAGAGTAGAGAGTAGGAATGTAGGATTTAGGAAGAGTTGGAGAAGAGGTGTGAAAAAATGTTTAAAATTAGGAGTATTTATAGGTTTTTTTTAACCCCCACCCCCCCACCCCACAAAAGCCCCGGTCCCCTGGTACCAACCCAACGGCTATATAGCCGTTTGGGAAGTGGGTCAACAGCCCAAAAGGGTGTTTTAAAAAGAAAAGTTTTTTTTTTTAAATTGTGACTGTTAGGCCTGGACACGGGTCGCCAAAACATAGCCCCGAGCCCGGACCCGCCACCCCCACCGGTTCGGTGCCCGAACCGGACCCGGACCTGAGAACCGGGCCCGCACAGTAGCGGGCTGGGCCGGTCCCGGGCCGGGCGGCCCGAACCGGGTCCATGACTAGCTGTGGGGGTTGGGAATTGGACCAGCTAGAACCGCAACCAGTCGTGGAAATGGTAGAACCAAACCGGCAATCAGGCATACCAGGTCTGATCCAGGTAACGGGGGCATGAACATTCACCAGGGCAGTTCGGGTTGGTTCTTGGGTTAGTTTATTGATTGGTTTTAGCTTATTAAAAATCAGCTGCAGGAGCCCTGGTTTTAATTCTTAATGGTTGTTATTTGTTTCCCAAAAGGAAATCAAGACTCAAGATCAGAACTCATCTGACACTTATTTAGTAAATGATGGAATTAAGCATCTCTGTTGAAGTTTCATCTTAAAATGTAAACTATATTAGAAGAAATAGATCAAAATCTTATATACTCGTATCAAGATGAAACTTCAAGTTCTAATATCCCTCAAATTCTATGAAACCGGTATATACTAGACAATTACCTTAAAATGTCTCCTTAGCTTAAACCGGCTTGAACAAACTTGAGGGTGGATAATGAGCTAAACAAATTCTAAAGAAGCTATCATGAATCATTGGCATCAAACAAATCATCAAATCATAATTGAATTGAGGTTTAATACTAATGACGTTTTCACACAGATTTGAAATTTTCAATCTAGTCTAATCTATTTAAATCTGGTCCGAGCTAATAAAAGTATATTTTATGTGTACGTACCACTGT